ACGTAAAACCTTCCTTTTTGATGATTTCGAAATAAATAATACAACATCCTAATCTCAGTTCATATATTTATTTCGCTGGTGTGAAGTAATTTTACGTCGTCACAAACATGATTTTTCATAGAAAAAAGGAATTTGTGAAAATTCTAACGTATGAAAAGTAATATTGTCATCGGTTGTCAATATTTATTAGGACAGTACAGGATAACACACATTACACATGCGAATTCTTAACTCACACAAAGTAAGAGAGTTCCCAGGTTTCTCGGCTTCATTCCCCCCTCGCAGGCCTCTCCCCCGCAGGTAAGAGAAAAATTATCTGTAATATGTAACACGTCAAGTAACGCATTTTAACACCACACAGCTCGCATACTTCAATTAGGGACGTCCACAACAAAAATCATTCCGTAAAACGATTAAATTATTATTTTATTTCATCACCAACGCACAATTCACGTAATCACGCCTGTACAGTCGCCTCCAACACACACGCGCGCACGCAAGGGGGCGAAGCAAATCCGGAGCAGAGACTGCGGCATCTGCATGGGAGGGAAACCACGGCGCAGCCAGCCCTAATGGCGGGGGCTTTCCGAGCACGGCAAAAAACAAATTCAGTGAAGGCCGCTTGCCATCTGCTCTCGCCGCCGCCGCCGCCGCCGCTACCTGCTCCCTAGGCAGCTGCACGGGCCGCGGTGCCCCCCACCGCCCGGCGCCGACGCCGAGATGCAGCCTCCTTTGAAAGAACGTCCGGTCGCCGCGACGAATGGTCAGGTCGGAGCTCCTTTTCCCTTCTCTCTGCTCAGCAGCAGCAACAGAGCAGCGCGACTGCCAGCAGAGCAGCGCGGCCGGGCCGGCCCCGCGAACGGAACAACCTGCTCTATTCAATAGACTTAAGCACTGCTCGGGCAGTGTATTCGGATTCTGTGAAAAGACAAAAGATTGCTTTTCTTTTTGAGGGATCGGGTTGGAGGGGGGGGGTCTCTTCCTCGCTCAGAGAAATACTCGGAAGTGAACGATCAGGAAACTGCTTTCAGAGTTCGAACGTAGACAAAAAACAATTAATGAGCAAAAAACACAACAAAGAGGCACGAAACACAAGACGCAGTGGGTAAATAAGAGACCATTTATGAAAGTTGGAATTGTGAATAAAACGAGATGCATGCGGAAGGAAAAAATAGATTTCCAGGAGAAACTAATAGGTAGAATGAAACGACAAAAATAAATACCAACAATATTTTCAGTTGCAATCGAATTATCTAGAAGCGGATAACAAAATCGAAATGATCAAGTAAAACTGGGAGTAATTTTGAACAATACCAAGGGGCAGCGAGACACGAAAGAAAACTAAAGCATAGAGTTAGCAATTCCCAATGACTAAAACACCACCGACAGAAGGCGGCAAACGGAGTGAATGACGATAAGGAAACTCTTCGGACAATCCCAAGCGGCGATGCACAAGGGGGGAAATATATAATTCAAAGAAAAACCAACGGGCGTATTGAAAGAAGGGTGCAGATAATTACAAAAAATGAAAGTTAGGGAATTACACGACAAGACAGTTGAGAAATCATCTGGAAGAGTAATGCGAAGATCTCCATGGTAGGGAACGGTACAATACCCACAAGAAACACACGACAGAAAAGCCAAAGACCCTCCGAGCAAAGACAGGGCAAACCGAATGAAAGACGATAAGGCATCCCCTCAGAAAATCGCGGACAGCGTCGGGGAAGAGGAGGGGAGGGGAGGGGAGGGGAGGGGAGCGACCGCCGACGCAGCACCGCCACCCCCGTCGGAGATTCGGCGCGTATTAGCCCCCGCAGCCGTAATGGCTCCGATATTTCAGGCGCGCCGCCCGCCATTTGTCACGTGCCCTGTATCGCCGCTTCCCGTGGGAGGCGGAGGCGGTGGAGGAGGGGATGAGGGAGGAGGCGGGTCCCCGATAGTGCTTCCCCGTGACGCGATAATTCGCGGCGGATAAATTTAATACCTCCACCGCAACACCCAGGCGGCGCGTCGGCCCGCGCCCTTGCGCCCGCCGCGCGCTCTCCGGCAGCTGGCGCGCTCTGGCGGCCGACGCGGGCATCTTGCACCGCGCCGAGCCGCGCCGCGCTTCGGGCACTTGGTCTCCGCCGCTGACGCTCCCCGCGCAAGTCAGCGCGGCGCGGCGCGGCGCCTCGGAGGCGACGCCTGCAGAGAGCGCTTACTTGGGTTTTAGTTTATTCCTCCCTTTCCGCTCGCCAACTGTCTTTCGGAGGCGATTACAAAATGGCATTATTTCTTTAACATTTTTGGAGCGGACATCCTTTAAGGTGCACCGAACTTTACTTTAGCGCCCATCAAAATTTTAAAAAATAAAAAATGTTTTATTAAGAAAATTGGTTGAATAGATAATTCGATGAGATAACAACGATACTACTAAATTTAAAAGCGAAAAAGGAAAATCACGGAGGAATCTGATTATCCTTCGGAAAACGCGAACGCACAGCACTTACTGACAGGATGGTTAAGCTATATTAATACCTACCATTGAAAATATTTGTATTTAACAAGATACATTTTTACTTCTTTTATAGAGAACACATACATTTCCTTATGAACATAAGTACTCTTCATATTCCGACCAAAATTTTGCTACGGCGAATATAACATTTCAAAATAAGACTTTAAGGAGAAATTAATAGACAGATGAGAATGCAAATAATCAAGTTTGTGGGGAAGTTGGATGTATTATTGGGAAGCTTATGGAAAAGCGTTCCACAGGAAAAACAAACTAAAAAGGCACAACGCCCTACACTACCTAGAAGAATCTACAGACGAAAAGACCACCAAGAAAAGATACATCAAGCTGATCAATTTAGGATAAGAAACTTCTCAGAACATCTAATCTATCTACACTACACTTTTTATTTCATTAAATACAGAATTTTTTAGCTTTTCGATTTATCACACACATAGTTTTACTCGTCTTCTCGTGTTGGTCCGGGTCACGAATATTTTTTGGTGGTTAAATAACTTGTACATGCACGTTTCCTCAAAGCGAACAACAATTTTACGTTTTGAATTTTTTAGATTATGGTCGTTCAGAAAGCGATGTTTAATAGTTACATCAAACTGAAATAGTAATGGTACATACACACAGTACTCAAACTTGTCACCGGTAAAGCCCATGCAATGGATAAAAGGAATGCAGATGCCTTTCCTCTAAGACGATTCAACGAGTTACGGGAGGCCACAGTCTCACTTCAGACATTTTCCTATTATCAACATTTTCGGATAGACATTTTATTGTCATATACACACACAATGCAAAATATTCAATGAAATCTCAATAAATATTACTACTATTAGCTCTGGTTCAGTTTCGAGAAACTTTTCTTCCTTCTCATCGGGATAGGAAGTCAGTTTTGTCAGGAGCATAAACAATATCAATTATAAGACCGACGGTATTGTTCAGTACTTTGTTCACATAGTACAAATTACCGAATTGAGAGTCTAAAATTGCCAAAGCGCATATCATCAGTGAGTAAATTCCTCAACGTTCCCAGGTGTCTACGCTACAATTTTGACAGCGTTTCACAAGTACCTGCATTTTAAAAACTAATAAACCTGAATATACATTGACGCGTGTTTCGTTGCAGATTGTTGTAAAGCGTACATTACTTTTGCTGCGTGATTGCAGCACGGTTTGGAGAATTTTCAGTCAGCATCAAAACTAAAATTAATTTCCCTTCGAATCTCACATCATACGTTAACAATCCTAACAATCGACGTAATTAGCAATCTACGGATCTAGAAATAGGAAAATATTCTATTAAAAACGTATTGTTTTATAATTTCTTAACGCTGTTCTTAAAAAGTAACGAAGAATGCAATTTAAAACATATTGAATAGTACAAAACGGATTGCGAAGTAGTGTTACTTGAAAATGTGTCTTTTGGGCTTTCGTAATAAAAACACGCCTGCTAGAAAATCCGCCCTGAGTCGCTCTGCGAATCCCCTCCGACCATTGCCTCCAACCGTGCCCTCGCTTTTTCCTCGTTGTTCGCGAGAGGTCCAACTCATTCCCGAGCCGCGTCGCCCGGCACCATTGAAACATTATATTCTGCCTGCACAATCTTACACAATTTTGCAAAGAGTTTACATGTATTTATAATAACTGTTTAGACGCGATGGCAGCATTTAATCCGCAGGTAAATAGCATTACCCGAAGGTTAAGAGAATAACTTACGTCGAATACATGCGAATATACAAAACTAAAGTTGAAGTGAAGTTAGGGAGGACAAAAAATGTCTTTTGAAAGCGAGATTGAATTCAAGGATTTTGAAAGTAATTTTGTCCAAAATAAATCTCAGGCGAACTTCTAGAATAGTTTTCCAATTTTTGCAATCTCGATATATATTGGAAAGATTTTACTACAGTAATAGAACCACTAAGGATACGAGAAATAACTCATTTTCATTAAATTTGGTTATTTGTTTTCAAAAGTAGGGTTCTACACAATATTATATGGTGTATGACATGAGGAAATTCAATTTCCTCACCTGAAAAAGAGAGGAGTGAAAGAGAGAAAACATCCGTATCTTTTCGATTCGTTGTCCCCAGATACGGAACTAGCGAAATACTCCATTAAGAAATCCACGGCAGGTCTAAGACATTAGAGTTTTTCCGAAGCAAACCATCACCTGCCGCTTTTGATTGGCTTCTGGAGTCGTCCTATACATTATCACGACCTGGACATTGAATTATGAATAATATAGAAATTGACAACATTAATAGTGCCGTTAGATGTCGGAGAGTTACACTAATTTTATGCAGCGCCGTCTCTTATAACTCCATACAATTATAAAAAATGTATAGGTATCTAAAAAGAAATATTGTACACTACATAACGTACTGACACGATTCATTTCATACAATTCTTTCATTTTAAAACTCAACGTACGTTGCATAGATAATCCGTTCTTAAGCAGTTTTTGGGAATTGCCTCTGTCCGTTGCCCGCAGCTACCGAGCTGTTTCGCTGAGCAGCTCTCGGCAGTCCGAGGCGCTGAAGAGCGTCTGGCCGAAGCCCCACTCGCCGCCTCCGACAGGCTCCTGGAAACGCGAGCCTCCGATAAACGTCCTCCCTAATTTACTCGAGCGACGTGGACACGCGATCGAAAAAACGTCGCTGCTTCGCCGATACCAGAAAAACATAATAATACGACTTTCCAAACCGGCTGTACATGTCTGTATCTTTGTCTTCTCGGCGGAATCGCGTGACGGTTGCCGCGAACGCGGAGCAGCAGAAGAGGAGCAACGGAAAGACGACGAGGCACCTGGTTGGCAGCCTTCTGCTGCTGCAGCGACGAAGAGTTTTCTTTAATCTGTTCCAGTTTCAAGCTCGACTGGCTATGTCTAACGATCGAAAAAGGAAAAAGAATTAATCTTCTTTCTGCCATAAGATGCCGATGTGAAGTGAAGTGTGCAAAAAACTCCCGGAGAAATTTACTCCGTTTTCGAAGACTTCGGGGCCCACCGCGATCCGAGCCCTAAAGTATAATAGCTTCTTTATGCATATCATTTACATATTCAGGAGCAACCGAGATACTACAATGAATAAGCAAATTGTTATTCTCTCACATTTCCTAAGGAACGAGATTAATGTTTGAGAAAAACGTATCAAGGAAGAAATTGGTCAAAAAAATTGGGTATACGCTTCTGAAAGTCTTTTGGAGTACTTAAGTCCGTCCAACGAAGTTTGTGGTTAACTAAAAAAAGCACTTTTTTCTATTTCCGTGATATGGAAAAACGTGTTTCAATCGTTTTGTTCAAATAAAAAAAATCTGACAGAAGTAAACCAGCACACGCACGTAACGTCAAAATTCGATTATCGTCAGTCCAAAAACACTGATAATTCGGCACGTACCTTTTTGAACAGACGGTTTCTCCACAGCACCTGGATGTAAATCCAAACGAAGGCGATGACCAGAAATTCACAGGGATTTCCACCATCATTTTGGCATAACAATCAAACAAACAAAATCACAATCGTGCTTCTTGTGTGTACGGTTCACTACACGAGACACTGGCTTCACTAACCAAACCAATCATTATGTAGCAAGTACCCTCCAACATCACAACTTGGAACGAGCGCGACTACAACAGCCACGCCGGACGAGCACAGATTCAAACATGTTACCGCAGCCGCCGCTCGTTCTCACACTGTGCACTGGGCAGACGACGCACACATCAAACATCCAGCGGGTCGCAGCTCGCATGCGCATGAACACATTGTTGGGCGCGCACATCCACCACTGCCGCCGCGTCGGTCGAAGCTCCACGCGTGGCGCCCGCCTGTTGCACTCCGCGCACACCACGACACACGCACTCTCTCTCTCTCACGGCGGGCGGGCGGGCCGGCCGCCGGCGAGGGGCTAGACGCAGCACGCACTACACGCGGGCACAGCAGCCAGAGGAGCGCGCGGCAGCTGCGGCCGTCGAGCTCCGAAGACGCCGAGCGACAGATGGGAACATGGCGGCGGGACGCGCGGCCCCGCGTCACGTGGAACGCGCGCCGCCGGACTCGCCCGAGCTCCGCCGACCGCGCCCGAGCGGTCGCGAGCCACCGCCGCAGCGCTCCGGAGTCTATCTCTTCGCGCCAGGCTCTGCCACGCGCCGCGCCAGCGCAGCCCGATTGCGACCAGACGCCGCGCAGCCGGCACCCGAATTATGAGCGGATCGCGGGTTCGTATCCGGGCGACGCTCCCCTGCTGGTGCGCTCGCGTCGGCGGTCCGGAGAGCACTGGCGAGCGGGAGGCGATCTGCCGGCGCGGGGCGGGGGGAGGGGGGCGACGTGGCCGGTCCAAACCCGCTCCCTTCCGGCGGCTTTTTAAATGGCTGACCCGGCAGGTGCAAGCGACCAGATTCCGACTACCTGAGGAGAGGGACGCTCCAAACGAGTTTCGGCCGCCCGGGCGGCGGAGACGGAGACGGAGGAGGCAAGAAACGACACGAGGCCGGTTTCTTTTTATTAGCCGCGCTCTTCCTCCTGCCTCTTTATTACGCTGTTGGCCTGTTCAAGCCGGGGCATCGGGTTCGCCGCTTGCGGTGGGGAGGCGGCAGGCAGCTCTCTTCCTCGGCGTTATGATTCTTTTTTATTAGCTCTGCCGTCGACGCTGTTTGACTTATTTTAGAATCTAGGATAAATAGGGATTTCCAAAGGCACACGGCGAAGCTTGTCCGCGGCTGCGGTCCCAACGTCTGGGGCGCTCGTTCGGGCGCTGGTCACGCTCAAGTTCAAGTTCATTGCACTCGAGAGTCGGCTTAACGATCGGACGAGTTCGGATGCATTCCGCTCAGCCAATTAATACGCGCCGAAATTGCAAGTGGTTTTGGAATTTTTGAGAAACAGGGTATTAAATAGATGGCGCCGTTATGAACACAATTTCAAGAAAAAGTTGTTCCGGTAATTATTCTCATAATTTATCATTAAACGAAAAGAAGATACGGAATCGACCCAAATTGTCATCGATATATTAAAGAAATACCTGTAATTAGAGCTCTCACATGTTTCACCGTTCTCCTTATTACTTATTACTTGCGATATTTTAATTTAAACCTAAAATATCGAAAAATATATCACCATTTTTTATGTTTTAACGAATATTTCTGAACACGAACTAAATAATGGCCATGTTATTGCTCTATTGTGTTTTTGAAAGCAAAGGAGCAAATATTCTAGAAACTGAACTGAATAAAGTAAACAGAAACTGATTTGCAGCAATTCAGATGCTACCGAACAAAGACACACAAAATGGTGTCAAAAAAGTAGCACCAGACTGTTCAGTAACAAATAAAACTCTTGTAAAACACTGCAACAAATATAATATTTGGATAATATTTTCACAGTCATAACATATAATAGTATATACTATAAAGTACAATAGTTCCTTGCATACCAAAAATATAAAAGGAAAACTTAACGCAGCGCGTAAAGAGTAAATATTTAATGGCGGGTGGCCTCTTCCGTGGAACCTTGTTGTTGCATGACATCTGCTGTGACGAAAGCATTGAGTTTGAGAATTCAGTCCGTACACACAACATGAGATTAAGAGGAACAACACAACATATTTGCTCAAATATTTGCATTTTTAAGTCAAAATCGAAACTGTTTACTTCTTTATGAATTTTTCCTAAATTACTGGGAATCTAAAGAAACTACAGACACCTCTCACATGGCCAGAAGCTGCATAGTTTCTTTTATTTTCCGCGCGCATTTGAAATTATTAATTCGTATTGTACATGCACACAGCAGGATAGGGAATACTATATGTTTAAATATCAATAAAAAAGAAACAAGCACATATTCGAATTGAATAATAGATAAAAGGAACTTGTCTCCGTCTCGTAATAAAAAAAACAACAACTTAGTATTCAGTTCATCCCAAGGAAACACAAACGAAATATAGAATGACATCAAAATTTCGCGTATGATAGCTGAATTTATTCATGACCAAACATTTCATATACCACCAAGACTCCAGATATCGGAATCCTCAGTGCATAAATCAGGAATATGGCGCGGGCAGCTGTAGTTGTGAGGGGCCCAAGAAGCGATCTGCGCGTGTCTGCGCGCGGGGGAACATGCACTCTCGACCCACCGCGCACCGCGCGAGGGGTGCGTTCAAAAGCGTTTGACAGATTCCCGTGGCACCTGGCCACGAAAGAGCTTTATCATGGCGGCGTATAGGATTAGAGGCGAATCCTTTAACCGCCTCCCCGACCAGCACGCGGGCCCGTCGGCGCCGACAAATCCGAATGATTTACCGGAAGAGACCTGTTCAGCCGCGACCAGACATCATGACAATGCGCAGTGGCTGGGAACTCAACTTTGGGTGGTACAAACGTTTTAATTTATTTTTCTCTTAATGATCTTTCTTCGTTTTTTCACAAATAAGTTCCCTTAATAATTGAAGAAGTACTTAGAAGCTTGGAAAAGATATTTCCCCCATTTCGATCAGGTGTGATTTTTTTATTTATTTTTGAGATAACAATACTATTTCACCTCAGTTTTAATATGTAAATATTTCACGAAAGCTGTGACTGATCGTTATAAACTATTATCCAATATGGAAAATACTTTTTTGTAATAACCGAATTGTATTGTGTCAATTGTTATTCACGAAATTACAATGGACCCGTTGAATTTGTTTTGATTTCGAGAAGGGAATCACTGCTCACGTACAATCATGCTCAAAAGTGAACTAATGGTAAATGGCAAAAAATAGAAAGTTTAATACGACTTTAATCTAAATAGCCTGCCTAAAGTTCTGATTTTTCTAAGCCGTCTGATCTACGAAAATTTCTCATACATTACTATGAGAAACAAGTGTGAAGATTTATAGTTACACGTAGCGTTGCTATACATTACATACTTTCCAACACACTAGGGAACTTCGTCAAAATTTGTTGAATTCGCAACATTTACGTATTGTTAAGTATAACAATGAACTAATAGTAAACACATTACGATAAAATAGCAAAGAACGTCGGGGTGAAGAGCAAAGGAGCCATCCATGAAATACGTGAGGCTTTTCGGGTGGGGGTGGGGGGAGGGGTCAAGGCGAATCTCACCTAATATACGTGGGAGAGAAGGGGGCTCGGCAAACATCACAATTTTTTTGCTACAATAAGTAGCATAGTATACGGAGTAAAATAATCTAACAAAAATTACCAACCTTTTTATCATTAATGACATAAATCCCATTACATGTATTTTTACATTAATTTTAAAGAAAAACCACTCAGAATGAATTATTGCACTGTTTTTAGGAGTGTAATAATATTCATTGTAATTCGCTCACCCTATTTTTTAAATACTAGTCATATCTAGTCTTAAACATAATTAAGCAAATCATGTTTTTTTAAGTAAATTCCAATACAATCAATCACAAATTAACGTATTTACATTAAAAATATGCATTTTGAAAAATCTCACACAAGATTAAAAGGGGAAGGGGGTCGAGCCGAATCTAACTACATCTCACCAAGAGGGGAGGGGAAGTAAAAAATCGCCTCCCATAATTTATGGACGGCCCCAAAGGGCCCACGAGGACTGCGGGCTGTGGGAGAAAACCTATCAGGAGCAAATAACAAGTAGCAACTCTGTTGAGCAGGGCCTTGGAACAGGGCTGCAATCTCTAATTCGCTACGTATTGCCCATCAACTGCGACTGGAACAACCGCTTCTGCGAAGGCAGCTGCGCTCCGGGCCGCCAGCGAGGGGGGGGGGCAGTCGCCGCGGGCGCCGCCACTCGCCCGTCAAGGTCACCGGAGTGCGAATCGCCGGGCTCTACCTTCTCCTGCACAAGGTATGAGTGACTAATGACGTTCTCTCATCTAGCAAGGTGTGGCGTCTCTCAAGCATTGACCAGGTTTAATTGTTATCGTTTTTCTATTTTTTATTTTGAGTTCTTTTTAATTACATTAGAAGTATTCGAAAAACGGCCAATCCCTCGCCAGCCGATAGAGAGGCGTCGAATCGCCATGGATTCAATGCGCTTACCTCAAACTGTGAACCAGAAAATAGGGCTATTATAATTTCTTCATATGCTTATCCTTCCCCTCGATTACATTTTCTATATAATAATCATACAATAATAATAATAATAATAATAATAATAAAACATTTCTATAAATATGTTTATAACTTGAAAATTCAGAAATATGTACCGCTGACTCAGAATTTTGCCTTCAATGGAGATTTTAGAATATCGGCATACAACCGATAATCATGTCCACCACAGGATTAATACCAAAACACACAGTGCATGCAATTTAATTGTTGGAAATACCATTTTCATGCGTAGAGCCAATGCAGAAAGCAGCAATACTGTACAGCCACAGAATAGTAAGAGAATTCCTAGGATGTACTGCTCATTGCGACACGATTGATTGAAATGTGAAGACAGTGTTCGTGTCTGTCTCTGCGAGCAATGGTCAGGTGAATGTTCCTGCACATAGTGCAGAGAAGTCGGAAAATAATAATGTTCTCGAAGGATACAAAAAATATGGTGAGTTCCTCCACCGAGACTCCCGCGTACGAACGACTGACACCTCGTGGATTGAAGTGGCGTTCGGGCAAACGCGCGCACGCTGCTTACCTGACTATTTTATGAATAATGTATGCGTTTAGAAATGAGTAAATTTCATTGTACTTTTACGTAATTTTGGAAGATGTATGGATGTTATGAAATTATCAGTCGCTTTAGATTGCCCATCATTTGATCTATTGTACATATTGTCATTATGCAGCTAATGCCAAGTAGAGCGGTACGATTTTAGATCAAGTCAAGTGATTGAGAATCCAATTTTTGTTCCACAAGCTTTTCAATATTCTCATGTTATATTTTATTAAATATCTATCCAAATGAATCGAATTAATGTTTCACTACATCGTCTTAGTCACTTCGCTTCTCTGTTAAATTGTTTGCGACCTTTCGTGAACACACAGAAATCAACTTGCCACAGCTTTTTATTTTGTGGTAATACTATCAAACTTCAGATATTTCTGTTGCTTCCCATCGTACTGTGTCAA